ACTAGTAGCCATGCTCTTTCCTTTCCATACAAAACCACCATTTGGGGACGATGCTGCTGGCGCCATTGGCTGCTTTCAGCTTTGGAAGCTTGGAACTTTTTAATTTTTGGAGCTTTGGAACTTTGGATTCGTGCTGTTACTTTGGTACTCGTTTGACGTGTCAACCGCCACAACCACTTCGTCCCCGTCCAAAAATCACCCTTTTGAATCACATCCATCGGCAAACCGGGGCAGCCGTGGCCTTCAGACCGTGCGCAAATGACTGTCTCTCCTAGACTCGACCGTGCCACAAACAGCCGGCAAGCAGAGAAAAACCGGCACACCTGGTGAAAACGACCGGTCAACTGCAAAAATCGGTGTGCCGTAGCGGCTCTCGGGGGGTTGCGAGCGGAACTGTTCAAGCAGTGCGGCAGGCGGCAAGGGTGAAACAATGGCAAGCGGAGAGGGAGAAGCGGAACTATCTCGCCCCGAGAAATGGGGACCAACACAAGGACCAACTGAGACAGTGCTACCTTCTGATTTCCAGTTAGTGAGTTTGAGAAAATAGAAGTGCGACATAGCACATGGAAAACAAATCACTCGCAAATAGAATATGGCGTACATGAAAGCACTTACCTCAAGTGCTGACAAGTTCAATTGAGCACTCTGCAGGATATATCTATACACATTTGTTTATACACATATATGATATGCATATTGTACTGGCCGATGTTGAACTGGTTGATCTTGAACTAGTACTGGAACAGTTCGCATTCATCTCACATTCTAAGTGCACGCCCGCACCCATTCTATGCACAATTGCAGTTAGAGTCACAAATATATATATATATATACAGAATATATAGTGATGCATAAAGGTATCTCTAACATCCTTGACTGATTATGGTTTTGGAATTGGTCAACATTCTAACCGCCAACCTTCATGCAATTTGTGCAGTACGCACATTTATTTCAATGGCATTCACTGCCTCATGTCGCACCGGTCGTTTTCGGTGCCTCGTGTCGCTCCAGGGCGTTGGTCACATAGGCTCATCCAGCTCTACGGGCACACCGCAGGGGCGGAGCCATCCAGTTGCACAAGATCCATTCGGTTCAAAGTCTGGCTGAATTGATGTGAACCCTAGCTTGACGATAGAGCTTGGCTTCTAAATTAACCTAGCTTACCTAGCTTTAGCTCTTGATGTGAACCCTGTCACGGTTAATGTGTCCGGAAGCCTTGTTGCCCCGTCAGGCCTCCCAAAGACAGCAACTTATTAGTGAGTGCGTTGGCCAACAAGCCGACAACGCGCTTGCCAAGGTGATTCCACCTTGGTTGATTCATGCATTTGTTACTGGCTCACTTAAAATTCTATGAAACTCTACATCACCCTTCCTGCTCCAAATGTCTGCGGATCCCTTGGAAAAGGCACGTGACGAAAGGACTGGCCTCTGCAAGAGCTTCGTGGGTTGAAAGTTTCTTCATGACCTGCACCCAATCATCGTGTGAGCTTCGCTTCTCCAAACACAGAAAAGACCGTGTTGCATGGTACCGCTTGTCGCATGTCAACACTCGAGTCGTGTGTCGTTTGTCTCCTCGGTGCTGGGGAGTTGCTCTTTCAGGAGTTCCTAGGAAGCGGCTAGGGATGATCCATATGCTTGCAAGAAGGCTGCACCTCATAAGAACGAGGGAGTTCCCTTAAGGCTCTGGCAGGTCCTATGGCATCGGTGGGTTCGCTGCCTAGGGCTTTTCTCAAAGCCTCTCTGCGAGCTCTCACCTGGCCCGGCCAGGTTTCGGCATCCGGTAAGCCAAGCGTCCAGTGCTTACAAGGAGAGCAGAGAGCCCCCTAGTAGCGTCCTTGCTCCTAAACAAAAAGACAACCAAACGAAAACGTACTGAATTTTTCCGTGCCAGCCAGACCTTTCGCTGGGCAAGGTCTATGCGAGCTACCTGGCACCAAAACGTTTGGTTGTTCACCTAGTCTCATTTCATGGTGCTTCGACTGCTTGTATAGACTACTTGGTGCATCCTTCCCACCTTGGCTGCTTGCTTCTTCTCCTTTGCTGCTTCTGCTGCATTTGTCACAGACCTGCAGGCATGTCCACCAGCAATCCTAGTGAAAGCCCTCTGACATAAGTTGATTCTCACCTGCTGCTTGACTCAAGAACTGTCTAAGGATGGCGCCATGTCAACGATCTCAATTCCTGTGCCTTCTTTGGATCCAATTTGTTTTCAGCCTCCTGCCAACACAGCGACGATATCTCAGGTTACGTTCTCTTCTTCGTTCAGAAGCCCACTGCAGATTCCTACGGATACACGCTTCATAGTGATCCACACAAAAAGGCTGGACTGCCTTCGCTCGCCCTTCGATTCTGTCTGTCAAGTCTTTCTCCTGAACCTCAGCCACTGATTCTGCACGGCATTTCTTCTACATCCATAGCTCTCCTAAAAAGAACATGGAAAAAAACAGGTGGCAGGCCTTGATCTGATTCAAGGCCGTACTCAGGTACATGGCAAATTCCTGGGGTAACTCCAAACCAGCAACATCCCGTCATCGTGACGGAGCGCTTGCAACGCACCTCGTCGATGCGTGCAAACTCACCCTCCAGAACGGTCTCAAAATCCTGAATCACTGGCTGCAAGGGCACTCGAAAGCATGGATCTAGCACTGGAATGCTGGAAAATGCGGTGAATCTTTCAACGCACCGTGATCTTTCAGTGCACCTCTCGATCTTTTTGAACTGCACTCTCACAATGAGCACTGCGGGTCATCTCTTGAGGCTCTGCGTGAGGTCATCTCTCAGGTGGGTTGCCTGTTGTCTGCGCGCGGTTGATCAATGATATCAATTCCGGAGTCTCCCCCTCAAGCAAACACCTCATGCGATGATCTCCTCCCTCGACTTCTTGCACCTCCACACCGATCACGCTCGCCATCTCTCTACTGTCGGAAATGGGCACCGTATCATCCATGGTGCCATGAACAATGATGACCTGTCCGACATAGTCATCTGATGCAAGCTGTTTGGCCATTGCAGCATAGATAGCAAGTGGGCTGTAAGTTGGATCATACCCCCCTCTTTTGCCAACTGCAAGTTTGTAGGCAGGGGCTATGAGGATCGCAGGTCCTTTCCAGAGTCCCTTTGCAATGGCTAGGCAGGCCACAGCACCTCCCCAAGAACTCCCAATGAGAACCCCCTTAGAAGATTGTGTCCGGAAGAGCTCAGATTCTTGACACTGAAGGCAACCATCCAAGGAGCACTGCACACTCCAGCTATACAAGTTCCAGGGCTTGGTCATCAAGGCGTTCTTGACCAAGTTTCGAAGGATGCTGTTGCGCTTCCCCAGGCTCAAAAGCGACATGTGCATGTCAACGCATACCACATCATCATAGTGCTCTTGTAAGAATCTGTGCTTTCTTCCACCGCACCCAGACTCCAAGCCATGGAAAAAGATGATTCGTAAAGCCATGGGGTCTCAGTGCGCAAGACCAATGTCTATAACATCCAACTTGTACAACGCTGCAACTCCTGCTCACCTAACGGTTGGTATCGCTTCGCCACTCAGGCAACATGTGAAAATGACTTGCTGGCATGCTCCGCCCTATTGTTGCCTGGAATTTTCTCCTGCTCCACCCCTAGGAGATGACTTTTATTACAAATATCTCACTATAGATTGGATCAAGCACTCCACACCTTGGGCTAGAGGCAGCTGATGCACTGCCAAAAAGAAAGATATTCAGATTCAATGTCCCATCGCACGTCCCATGTCCTTCTCCAGGATTTCCCAGCACGAGGCGAGCTTCGACCTGAACCAGGGCACGGAAAGTATGGATTTCCACTGCAAACCTCGTCCAGGTGACCAAGTATTCGTTCGACTTTGACTTTGACCGCTTTGAGCGAGTTCAGGCCCGTACACATCTGGGCGTTTGCGTCCCGTTTTCTCTTCCTCCTCTGAATCCCAGCTGTCTGGCACCTGAGGGGATGCTAGTGGTTAGTGCAACTTGAAAAATGCCACTAGTCACTGGCGCAAAGCTGAGTAATCCGGTCTCAGATGCCAACGGATAGCCGCAAAGCTTCTCTGAAGAGCGGTGTTGTGCGAGCAAGATCACGTCGCAGGGTCACGGAAGTGGTAAGGTCCTGGATGGCCTCCTCGAGAAACATGGGGCAAAAAAGAGCCCCTTCAAGAGGTTCCCAGTTTCCAGGCCGTGAGAGTCTGGAACCAGGTGGGTTTGGGGCACGGATTTTCCAGCGCGCGATCGTTTTTTGTGGCAAAACTCGGCCTTTGGGATTTCAAGGATAACCATCATAATGCTCACGTTGTCAGGTTCAATATTGCAACTATAAACACCGATTACAAACCCATGAGGATCTGAGATCTGCAAGTCAAGCATATCGGCAAACAGCAGCTTCGAGCGAAAGTGATGCCAAATGCTTCGGCACACGTTCAGCAAGCGGTGCCCAAAGGTGCTCAACACGACCATCGCACGACAGATCAAACGATCGATCGCACGATCCGATCGCTCCTGGTCCTCAGACCGTGCATTGGACGTCGGTGACTCCTTTGCGGCTTCAGCTTGCGCTTCGACCTGGCAAGAGGCAGGTCACTCCCTTCACCCATTTTCAACCAGAAAACAGGTGTTTTCGGGGCCTCCGCCTGGCACGCGAGGTCCTGCAAGGTCACGAGGTTTGGGACAACTCCACAGTAGGTCTGAGCACACGAGCAAAAAGGACCTTTGTCTTGGTCCTCCAAATATTGTTCTCTGATCTCTTCGGGGCTGCGTGGGTCTTCCATCACACCTGGGTTATGGCCAAACAGGCACAAACAAGCACGCGGTTGGTGTTTATCTGCAATGACAGGCCTTCATCTGCTAGCTCCTGCTCTTGGTCTTCTTTGTCTCTCTCTCCAGACCTGGATTTGAAGCATGTCACATGAAAAGGATGAACAGTGAACAGTGTATAGATCATGTATAACTATTGCACACTTGTCGCCCACCGCATTGGAAAGCCCTTGTGCCGCTCAGCCTTTCTATCCCCTCTGATTGGCACTCTGCAGAGTGCTTGCTCTCCCAAGCCCGTGAAACCTTGACTGTACATGGGGCGTGGATTGTGGAATCGCGAATGCGAGGACCTCAGGCCGAGCCCAAGTCACTAAGAATAAAAGGTTCCACTGGCCCCAGGCTTTCCATCGACCTCTGAATTCCTTGCCTCACTTCCATAAGGTCTCTGCTGGAGATCTGAGGTCCAGGTCTCCCTCTAGACGACTCCTTCACGAAGCGGGCATACTCCTCATCCAAGGCCCGTGTGGCCTTGCCCTGCGCACGCCGTCGGGCCGCCGCGCGGCGGAGCCGGTCGCCCACAGAGTCGTTTGACGGCGCGGCCGACGGCGCGGACGGCAGGCGCCCCAGGTGACGCATGGTGGACGCATCGCTTGCGCCGCTCTGGGCCTTGGATCCATCCCAGAGGGTGCGGGGTTCAGCTGTTCCAGTGGAATGTGCAAATGGAACATTGAAGTCCCAAGGCACCTCTTCTGCGAGATTTTTCTGAGCCCAAACCTTCCAAACATCAGATTCTGGCCGTCTGCCTTGGGGCTGCACATGGCCCCGTGACTCCGCAGAATCATGACGTCTCTCCATCTCGGAATTTGGCAGCGCAGCCGGAGGTGCTGGCAGAGATGCGGGGCGCTGAAATCTGGCTGCTGGAGGTGCTTGCAACGTGCCCTGCAGGCTCTCTAGGAGCTCTTTGTTCCGCCGTTCGGCCACTGCTAAACGAGCTCTTGCGCTGCCAAGTTCTTCTGCAAAATCAGCTTGTATCTTGGCCAGCTCGGAGCGCATTTGCTCGACTTCCAGCGAAGCTTCCTCGGTGGGCCCCGTGGGCACGTTGGCAAGTGTCCGTGCAATGGCTTGCTTCGCTTCCACTGCCTCCTGCGCTTCCAAGCGGCAACATGATATTTCGGCTCTGTGAGCATGGATTTGTTGTTGCAGCCTCTCCTTATCTGCTTCTGCCTTGAACATGACTTCGTTCAAGTTGATTTGCAAGGACTGCTTCTCTTGCTGCCAAGCTCCTTTTTCATCAGCCAGCTGCTGATTCATGCGATGCAACTCTTGACGAAGCGCCACCAACTCCCCTTTGTGCCGCTCTTGCTTGGACATCTCCGTGGCTTTTGCCTGGGCTATCTGCTCAAGCTCCTCACGTTGTGCACGCAAGGTCGCATTCTGTTGCGCAAGCTCGGACATGCTGTGATCCAACTCCGAACGGAGCTTCAGAACCTGGTTCTCCTTCAGCCGTTCTGTCTCCCAGAACATCCTCTTCTCCTCTTGAAGCTGGGTGAGCTCACCACGTAAGTGCGCCACAAGCCCATCCTCCGAACGGAGCTTCAGAACCTGGTTCTCCTTCAGCCGTTCTGTCTCCCAGAACATCCTCTTCTCCTCTTGAAGCTGGGTGAGCTCACCACGTAAAGCTGTGCGCAGGCGATCCTCTGACAACTTCAAATTCACAGAGAGTTGTCCGGCTTCTTGGCACAACTCTGCCACCTGATGGTCCTGATGGTCCTGATTCTTCTGACGGTGACGGTGAAGCTCCAGATCGGCTGGAGTGGCCCGTGGGGGGCCAAAGTCCAAATCAAAGGAAGCGGAGCTGTCCTGACCCCACCTGTCCCTCAATGACGAGGGTGCATGAGGAAGAGCGTGATGAGAATACCCAGAGTGCTCTCTCTGCTTTGCCTTCCAGCTTTCCCTTAGGCCAGAGCCTAGTGATGCTTTCTCAAGTTTTTCAGGCTCGCTGCTCTGTGGACTGACTGAGGTCACCAACTCTGGCCTGCTTCCCAAGGGGCTTCCATGGCTAGCAGTCTCCGTCTCGTCGTCACTGGCACATGTGCCTTCAGGATAAGCTCTGAAGACCTCGAGCCATGTTTTGGAGGGCCCTGCTTCGGATGTAACAGTTCTTTCAATTGCAACACCCACCTCCGGCCAGTACAGTTCACGCACCGTCGCATCTTGCTGTTGTTCACAAGTGAGGCCGATGTTCGGCACCACCTCCTGCAGCAGCCAGCCCTTTGGCATCTTGGACAGCACTGCAAGCATGGAGCCTTGCACCAACGTGCTTTGCCCACGCTCTGGAAATTGAGTGCGCTTGTACTGATGGTGGAAACGGCCTGCACTGATGGACAGGTACAAAGAACCTCCTTGACTCCCAGTGCGTCCCACAGTGGCAAGAACCAAATGCTCTAAGAGTGGCGGAAGCTCATGCAGTTGGAGCTCGAGTTCCAGGTTTCCAGGCACCTGACCCTTGGCCCACACTACGGCACTCCGGCTGCACCCCAACTTCTCTGGACACTCATTGGCATCCAGCAGCTCCAGATCAGATCCAAAAAGCCCACAGCGCAGTTCCAACGCGTTGAAGCCTTCAGCCTGCAGGATACACCGCAAGGAGGCGCGACCTTCTCCCTGCACGAAGGAAGGGAGTGACAGGACCTTCTCGCCATGGGCCATGCTGACATGCTCAATGCCTCACTCATCAAGTCGACGTTTCTGACATACGTGACGCGTGGCAAGATGCCAAGATTTGTGCAAGTCAATTTCGGTAAAGGGACAGTAACTTCGTCCTTACTGCAAACAAACTTATATACTGCAAAGGACAGCCATATACAGTAACTATGACTGTTCCGCAAGTGGTCAGGCTATTCTCTCAGTGCAACTGGGAGTGGCAACATCCTTGCCTGCGAGGGTGTGGTGTATTTACAGTCGAATCAAGCTTTTTCTTCATGGCTCTATGGTCTTGATTGCTACGCTGAGGGAAGATTCAAACAGTCAACTCTGCAAATGAAAGGTCACTTAGCATGACATCCATGCCAACTGGTTGTTCATCTTGCAGGCATGCCGCAAGAGCTTCAGCTCCTCAGTCCAAGCCAGTGCGAGTGGCCCATGTTCAAACCATTATGAGACAAATTCTTGATTAATAACCCCCGCCCTGTTTGAATTTGAAACACCTCTTCATGTGGGCAGGGTCATTTAATCAAGATCTTACATTACGACATAGACTGGTCAAATCCAAGTTCGTGGCTTCTTCCAGCATCACAGTGGTCAGTAGATTTCCTGCGTTGGGTGATAATTTTGCAATTTTTTAGCCATTCAACAGCATGTATAACTCAAGCTTCTGGATAAAGTCCTTCATCCTCAACTGCGTCACCTTGATACATGCGTTGAAATGACCCAAACACCAGCGTTTAGCGTCGCGTCTAGAATGGTAGATTCACCAAAGAAGTTTGAAGCCTCGAAAAGCCCTGAGGCAATTACCAGCTGTTGGTGCTGAAGGTTCTTTATCCTTGTCGGCGCCTGGGCGTGAGCTGGTTGGGTCCAAGACAGTCAAGATTCTGAGACTAGAGCCTGGTTCAGTTGTCTCAGCACCTGAGCGTGTTTGAATGGCCAGCTGAAGAAGTCCATGTCAAAAACTCATTGAGTGTTATGAGAGGTCATGTGTTCTTCGCTTTTGTGCAAGTGCCTGACTCGGAAGACTTTCGGCCCATGTTGAAACACTTGGCGCTATAAACTATAGTTAAGCACTTGCCTGCTGCTTGCTGCATTTTTGGCGTTCCATCACCTCAACAAACACACACACACACACTCCCACAGTCACCATCTGAAGGAAAGTATCTGCCGTCTCTGCCTGTCGTCTGCATCTTCGGCGTCTCAGGTGCAATATCCATGGCACCTGGTTCCAACTGCCAGTGACTGGACGCTACTCCGGTGACTGCCCCGCCCAGTGACTTGGCCTGGTGGTTGCAGTGTTGGTGACCCGGGGGAAGCCTCCACACCTCCTAGACAGGCACTTTGTAGCTTCATATAACAAACCAGTGCGCAATGGTGTGGGAGAATCCCGCCTAGTGATTGGTGTCTTGCTGCTGGTGACCCAGGGTTCGCATCCACACCACCTGCACAGTTCATACTTCCAGTGTCAACTCAACAGCACGTTCTTCTGAGCCTTGCCTTGTGGTTGCTGTGTTGCTGGTGGTGATCCAGGGTCGGCATCCACACCACCTAGACAGTTCACAGCTCCAAAGAATCAACTCAACAGCAAGTTCT